ATGCATCTAAAGCAAACCAGTATGAAAGATAGTTTTACAGGTTAATTTGTTTTCAAAACAGCAACTCTATAAAAGGGATCGTCCACTTGTACTGGCATTGCCTACTCTCATATTTAGTTATTTGGTTGTAATAGGCAGTTAAGGTAAAAACACTTGTAACACTGCTGTAATTTTTATGTGGATAGCCCAGTTACATGACTGCAACATTTTTCCACTACTTTTTTTATACTGTAAACTTGGTTTAGAAAATTATTTACAAAGATTTTGGGGTATTGTATAGAAATATCATATGGAGCAACTACAGTCAAATGTATTGTTTTAAAAGGGAGTATATCGTCGTACTGAATCTTTTCCTGCACTTATTATTTGATTTAATATTTTCAGTGTGGTGGAATGACCATCATGGAATCATAGCATCCTGTAGTTCTTTCTATATAATTCCATTCAGATATTCACACTTTTATTTTAAGTTAATGCAGAAGACATTACATATTGACATCTATTTCTGATATATCCATTTTAAGGAATAATCATGGAGTCTATACTGCTACATGGAAAATGCTAAAAAATACTTCATGGGAAGTTTCACATTTTTCGTGCAACAAAGGAGCTGAGGTTTATTGCATTTTCAACAATATGTTAAAATTCATACAAGCATTTATTTCTTTTATTATAAATGTAAATCAATGACCAATTCCTAAAGTATTGAAAGATAAAAGGCAAGGAAAAAATTCTCAGTTCGTAGTGCCAAAGTATTTTATTAATAATGCTTAAATTTAATTAAAAGAAAAAGATTACTTATGTTGTTATGTAGAATTGATGATAAAATGCTACATAGAAACAAGTATCGATTAATTTTGTTACATAGAATTAAAGAATAAACAGTCAGGCGGAAATTTATAAATGCATAAAACACAACAAAAGCTAGGACTGTATTTATTCATCCATTGCATTGAAAAAATTGTGGCTTTTCTATCCAACTGTCTTCAAATCTGTAAATTTATAAAAACCTCTACAATTGTAATTTTTTCCTAAGAAGTATTTCCATCTTCAGAAAAATAAATAATAAAAAAAGACAGGGTCCGTAGAGGTCCTTACAAGTGCTTTTAAGTCCTTATATTTGAAAATAAAATATAAAAGCCCTTATAAGTGCTTACTTTTTCTCTAAAGTGCTTATTTTTTTTGCTTTTAGTGCCCTTTTTTTTTTTAATAAACGCACATTTTCCCACGTACCAAAGCCGAAACTAAATAAACAACTTTTCTTCCTTATATGGAATGTGAGATGGTGAATCATACTCCCAAAAATAGCTTTTTGCCCCTTTCTCTGCATTAACATATCCTTTGGTGCACAAGAGTACAGACAGGTGCATGTCGTTCTATTGGTCAAAGAATTGCGAAAGAGGTAGAAAATTCCAATGCATTCTGTATTCTTTTGCTCCCACCCAATATTACACACATTTGAATTTCTATCAAGATTTTAATAATTTACATTCTGGTTCCTCATAGTCAGTTCATATCCGCGTTTATTATGATCGGTATGCTTATATTATGAGCATATGTATGGATATTTATAATAATATATTTGCAGTAACTGCTGAAGTAAAGATAAACTTCAAAAATGGGTAAGTGTGTTTTAACACAGATTTGTTTTCTAAGGAATAATATTTGCAATGGCATAAAGTGAAAGTAATCGAATAGTCAAAATAACTTTTTTTTTGGCCAGTGCATTATGTAGTACAGAAGTTGGTGGTTCTCCCCTTCTCCGCAAAATCTCGAATATTGAAACTGTACGAAGCAGAGGGGCCTTTTCTTTTATTTAGTTATTTATTCTCCTACCGGTAGCTGTTGATTCCGATTGCATATTATCACCATGCAGAAGAATTAAAGTGCATGTATTGTGCAGTAACGTGTGCAATATTCCACAGAGATAAGAGTTTTACTGTGCTTGCTAAGCACATTATTTTTCAGTTCCATCGGGCTATTTTTTATATGATGCACATATCGAAATGTCTAAAGCAATTTTTAGCTGAAAAAATCTAAAGAAAAGCTACAATCTACTCCCTTGCCCTTTTGCCAGTTATGCTCGAATATCCAGAATTTTCAGATATTCGGCAATTTCTGAATATGCTGGTTAGTTAAGCTTTTACTGTTAAAGGATGACTGCATGAAGCAATTTCCCGTCTTCTAATTTCAGAAAAGTTCCCCTTTTTCTTATTTTTACTTAAATTACTTTGCTTGCAATACCTGTTAAGGAAAAACTGTTATACAATAAAAATCTAGAAAATGTTCAGAATTTTGATTCAAGTTAAATTATTTTAATATTAATATGAGTGAAAAATAAATTGTATTTATTTTTAGGTGCCAAGCAAATATAATAAATATGGCTTATTATTATTTATTTTCTCTATTTTGAACTGAAATTTCATCAATAAATCTTGTAATATAATTTAGTTCTACATAGTTTTTTTCCCTCTTATTGTAAAGTAGTTCTGTAAATTGAACTGTTATTTAAAATTAAAAAAAAAAAAAAAGAATGTAATTGTTTTCCATGGTTGAGTAATGCTCATTCTCTCTTAATAAATACTGAATTTCTCATATTTTAAATTAAAAGTCTAATTTTTCTGTTAAGGTTATGCAGTTGTGTATAATGTAATTAGACAGGTGTTTATTTTTTCTTAAAATGTACTTGAAAAGTGCTTATAGATGCTTGTTTTTTTTTAACTAAAATGTGGCTATGAACCCTGAAAGAATTGAATACAAAATTTAAGCATTTTGTGCAGAAAACGAAAAGAAAATTATTATTTCATTATAATTTTAATCATAAAAACAGATCTGCTTAATATTTTTTGTAATAATAACAAAAGAATTAATAATATTATTTATTTATTTTGAGTATTAAATTTTGCTATCCAGTGATATTAAAAATTGTTTTAAATTTTGATTTTGACTTACAAATGCTGCAGAAGAGTTGTATGAGATATAAAATTTCTGTGAAACATACTTGGAAAACCTTCAGACTACTCGAAAACTTCAAATTATGTGAAAAAAGAAATGTAGATGTAAACAGCAGTGATTAAAAAGTTTTAATGACCAAAATATTTTCATTCCATCAGATTATTTGTTTATTTTGAAGAAGACGCTGTAAAGACATTAAGATTTTTTTGGAAGCTGAGAGATGTGAAGAATGAGCAATGAACCACGGGCATCTTAAATATGCACCGAGTGTGCTGACCATTTCACCACGAAGGCATGCTAAGAAGGCTGGAAAAATACCTTATAACATAATCAGATAATAAGATCACAAGCGGTATTGCAAATTTCACAGTACATTGCAAATTTCTTTGCTACTGAGGAAGAGGGACCTGTACTTGAGATCTTGGCTAAATCTATGCCAAACTCAAGGTTGTTGCATTACTAATTTTATGTTTCACTTTGCGTGTTTCTCTTTTGTTTTCACTTACTGTACAACTCTCCTAAGTTGTGTAGCTATCAAAAGGAAATATTATGTTAATATGATTGATGAAATATGAAGCTTAGTATATCTAACTGAAATTTTGTGTAATTCTTATTGTTATATGTCATAGCTATTGCACTAAATACACAGCTATATTCAAAGAATGAAACCATACTTCATTAAATAAAAATTGTATATTGTATTATTTTTGCAATTTATTAGGATAACTATTGATTAAAATTTAAACATTTTTTAAAAATGATATAAAGTTTTAATATCAATGCATTATCATCCTCAGTTGTAAAAAACAGTACAAAGTCTGAAATCCGGACTCGTAGGGACCTCGGCAATTCCGGATTTCGGATTTTTCCGGATATTAGATCATCAGTTTAAATCTAGTAAGATGGCATGTAGAAATTATAAAATTAAAAATATGAAATTGTGATTTATGAAATAATGAAATATTTATGATCTAAAAGGGTATCAAAATTTATTTGAAGTTCAGATTTTGAGCGTAAGGTGCATTTGCCCCTCACTCGCTATTTTAACTTCGCTAATTTTTCTTGTTCTTTATGCTTGATCAAATAGCCTGGCTCAGTAAAAGTAGGCGGCCGGTGCAACTCTGATTAAAAATCTAGTTATAACCACGTGCAGTGCTGATAAGGACCATGTGTTTCTGTGACTCCTTCTCCTTTATTTTCTTCTTTCTAGTTATTTCTTTCTCCTGATGAGGAGGGACCTTTAGCTGCCCTCGAAATCAATTGAGTGTTTCATTATACCTACCCTAAATACAAGGTGTTTTTACGATTTTTATTGTCACATTAGCGTGTTTCTCTTCTAGTCTACCGAAAACCATCTTTCACCAGATGCATTCCATACAGGCAAAGTTAAAAATATACATAATATGATTTCCATATTTGGAAATGTTGGTACAATTTTTGTAGTCTTTATAAATTATAGCATGTCAGATGGCAACATTAAATTTTGGCTTTTACAAAGTAATGAAAATTGTAACAGTTTCTCATCCAATTCTTTTGTATCAATGTCTTCAGTGTTCTTAGTAGTGTGATATCTTCAGATTCAACTGATACATTGTCACTTAGTTTGTATGAAATATTTTTAAAATTGCATTAATGTCTTTGTAACTTTTGGTATGCAGTTTTTAAATTATTTATTATATGTGACAAAATATCTTTTGTCACATATTGCGTAAAAGTAATTTCATTTAGTGGCTTCTTAACCCTTATTATATGAACTTTTGTCATCCTCATTATGCTGAAATTTGTCAAAAATTTCTTTCCGTTTTCGTGACCTTTTATTAGTATAGGAATATTTATTTAGTGCCTCCACTTCTATTACCAGAAATAAATTTCTTAAACTATTATTGTAATTAAATAAATTGAGAAAAATATTTAACGCAAACAAGATTGGCATAGTAAGCTTTTGTAAGGATATACTGCTTGCATTTATTCTGGAAAGAATTTTATCTCGTATAATTGCTAATAAAATGAATTTTGAATTATTTATTTTGTTTGCTATTTTTCAGGATTCCAGTTTTATAGAACATTTCTGAGATTCATCTAGAGATGTATCTAATAGAGCATTTTTTATTTCATTGAACCCAGAGCGAATTGCTTTAACTGCATCAACTCTACAAGACCAGCTGGTACTACATATATATATATATATATATTTACTGTAAAATTTATTATTTGTTGCAATTTTTTTTTCTAAAGTGTTCCAGTTATGAGTAGACACTGAAAAAAATGTATAAATGTTTTCCAATAAATTAAAATATGTTATTGCTTGCAAACATGATTCACTAACACTACTTACTATCAGATTTAACGAATGTGAAGGCACAAGGAACGTTATGGTCTGTTTGACTACGTTTTTTAAAGCAGTTTTGGAGCCCATAGTATTTTCCAGACATATTTGGCCACATTGTTGTAGCTTTTGTCTTCTACATTTGCAAATATCCAGGCATAATATTTTAAGGTTCTATAAAACTTCATTTTCTAATGATTCTCCTGTGTGCAAATAAATTGGTAAAGACCCAAAAAATCTCTCTATTGGCATACCATCTTCTGATACATAACTCAGTATAAAAGTTAACAGGTCTGTGTGTGTTATAGCAGGTGTAGAGTGAATTATAATTAAAAAATATTTGGCGGCTTTAACTTCTGACACGTATGTTTCTAACTTTATTTTTATTTATTTATTTATTTATTTATTTTGTTCAATATTTTAATAAATTCATCGCAAATAATTGACGAAAGATAACTCACATTGCCTCTTCCAGCTGACACTAATTTTGTTATATGTGAAGCTAAAAACTCATCAAGTTCTGCCAAATATTCTAGAGCTCCTATGTAATTTCCATTATTTGAAGCAAAAAAGAGTACATTACTGCCACGAAATGCACGAGGAATTTTAACCAAAAACTTATTGTTGTTACTATCCGTAGCAGTACTTTTCTCCAATATTTTTTTTCTTCTAAATACTGTTGTTCAATGATAGCATCTCTCAATTAAATTTCTTGCTATTAGTATGTTAATAGAATGTCTATGGTGAGTAAAATTTTCGTGTTCTTGCACTCTTACATTTACATTTTTCCTCTCCGAGTATCCTTCTGTAAAAGTTGTTCGTTTGATCAAAAATATCTTGCAAATATAGCAGTAAATTGCTTTACTTTTCACTTACACTAACCATTGTTGTTCAACGTTTTCACCATTTGCTTTATTGCGAATAAAAATATTTATCTTTAATGACAGAGTTACGGATTTCCTACCTTCTGTTACTACATTAAAAATGTATGTATAAATGAACTATTTAATGGTAGTTTATCTGTAAGCAAATAATGTTGCATATCTGTTGTTAAATTTAAAGGACAAATGAATTGCACAAAGAAATGTCCAAATTTTCCAAAACTAAAGTATCATTACTAATGGTGTTAGGTATATTTTATATTTTGAATTTCTTCTTCATCACTTGCATTTTTAGTTTTTCTCCACAATATCTGGTATGCCTTCTATATTTTTCATTTCTATTACTTCAATTTTGATTTCTTTGCTCTCTGTCATTTCTGTGTCTACTTCCTGTTTTCCAGAATATTCACCAACTTCTTTTTCTACAATCTTTGCTTCAGACTGAACTTCCACATCAATATTATCTGTTTTTGTATTAACAGCATATTTAAACAGAGCTTTTTTTTTTTTTTTTTTTTGTTTGTTTTTTGTTTCTTCTTGCATTTTCTTCTTTCTTTTCTTTTCTTTTCTTTTCTTTTTTTTTTTTTTTTTTTTGTGTGTGTGTGTGTGTGACACCGGAAGTGTGACAATATTTTTTTTATTTATACAATTTATTATATAAAAAGCTGCTTCAACACTTCAACTAACTAATCACTTCCAGAAATTTAATATTTAGAGCCAAAAATTGTCTCTCTACTCTTACTATGTTTGATGTTTTTACTAGACTTCTGCACACCATGTAATACACACCCAATATCGCGTGTTACTCCCCACCCACAGCTAGTCAGCGAAATGTTGTTCATGTAGTGGACCATTTATATCAGTACATCTTAATAAAAAAAGGAAACCTGTGGATTTAGATTAAATTAAAATTGAGCATATGGATCAACTTTTATTTATCTAGTGAAATAAAAAGAAACTTTTATTTTATTTTTAAATTTTTTTCCAAAGTTGATGCTTTGACTGAGCCCCCAAGGAACCGTGCCCTAGACATTTATCTTACTTGTCTGTGTTGTGGTCTGATCCTGCATATGAAATCTCTGAATAAATGCAAACCGGACTTGAATAATCTGACATTCTTTAACTTTGGACTCAAATAAGCAGACTTGTATCATTTCTGAATCAAAATACATTGTATTATAAGAAGAGAAAACGTAAAGATTAGATTCAGTATTTTCTTTTACTTTATTATGTATGTTTTTATGGCTGCTGATGAAAGCTATCATTTAAAAAAATGTCATTTTGTTAACTTAATAGTGAAAATACTAGGCACAGTAGGAAACCAGAAAGGTTTTATTTAATTTGCACTTTTAAAATTCAAGTCTTTTTTTTTTTTTTTTTTTTCATTAATATTAGTATTCTTTTTGCACTGAATGCATTTTTTGTTGTCGCAATAAATTCTCAGGAGATTGTAGAATCTGCTAGTTAATCAAAAAGAAAACTTGCATTTCTTCAGAAATATGGCATTTGGCCCAACAAAAAGGATTGCAAAATTTTGCATCCTGTGAGGTTCTGAAATGACTGAATGGTTCTGAAAATTTTATGGAAATGCAATGTGAAAAATAGCAAACAAAGTCTTAAAATGTGATTCAGAAAATAATTTGAGGATAGCTGTATCTTGTTTATGGTAGCTGTTTGCTTTATCTATTGTTCAACAAAGGAATATAATCTAGTGAACTTCTTACAGAAGGATTGGGATTTCCAAATGTAACTATTAGTTGGTTTAATTGCCTTAAGAAGTGTGAATGTCTTTTATGAGGAAATAGTGTTAAAATTTTTTTTAAAAAAAAAGGCAGCACCAAATGCATCACTAAAATAAAAGTGAGGATGTCAAAGCAAATGCTTTTCTTTAGAATCAGTCAAGAGTTTGTGACTGTTTGATGAGGGTACAGATAATCAGAAGGTACTAATATTTGTTGTGGGAAGGTGTGAAATTTATGCAGATTTATTATTAAGAACTCATTATAGTGACAGTATGAACTCATAAATACAGTCAAAAGTTGTTAATTCGGACACCCATAATCCGGAATGATCTATAATCCGGACCTCAAAGCTAAAAACTTTCTGCGCATGCGCCGCGTTGGCACATGCACACAGGCGTTTTACGCTTGCGCATAAGACTTTGACTACTGCGCATATGCGTGTGCGCAAGTGCAGAATACGTTTTAGCCTGCGCGTTTAATGTATAACGGACGGTGTAAGCTAAAATTATCTAATTATCTATTTCACTTAATGTTAATGATTGCGTTGTTCCTTAATCTTTGAATTGGATCCCACTTATTATATTTTGCAGACTGTAAGAGCAATTTTATAAAAGTAAACTTGAACTTTCGATTATGTCAAATAGAATTTCCGATGCTGGAACTTCCAAAGGATCTACAAAACGAAAGTATGTTTCGATGTCCAACAAACAAAAAGTGGAATTGCTGCAAAAAAATGGATAAAGACATGAAGAATGTGACAGAGAGGTTAGTGAAAACGAAAAAATTTCGATTGACAAGTTAGTCGGTATTCTCGTCACAGCAATTAACGGGACTTGAACAGCGGAACTTTGTAACTGAACAAGAAATTATGTCTGTTTATAGAATTAAAGAGAAAGTATTATCACATAAAATGAAGCAACTTAAACAACTTACATTGAAAGAAATGTTTAATAAAGTAAACAAATAAATATTAAGCTTTTTTTTTGTGTGTGTGTAAATTTTGATACCCTTTAGATCATAATTGTTCTTTATTTCATGAATTACGGTTTCATATTTTTAATTTTAGAATGCATGCCATCTTACGAGATTTAAACTGATGATCTATAATCCGGAATCGCTGAAGTCCCGACGAGTCCGGATTAACGACTTTTGACTGTAAGTGTTTAAGATAAAGCTTAAAACACGTATAAGATGGTAGGTATGCATATCATCGGTCATCAATAAAATTTTGTGTTGCTTGTCGGCAAAGTGTAAGATATATTTCAGATTTAATCAGAAAACTTGGTGATATAAAAGTGTATTGCTGTATTCATTCAGATCATCTATCAATCTATCTATATATCTCTATATACATCTAGAAGAGTGTCCATGTGTTTGTTAGTGTGCATGCAGTTCCAACATAACAACAGTTTTTTTTCTAATCTTGAGAAAATTTTGCATATTTATCCTTCAAAACAAGAAGGAAGTCACTTTCTACATAGTGTGCGTGCAATTGCAACATAGCAGGTGTTTTTTTTTTTAATCTTGAAGAAATTTTGCATATTTATGCTTCAAAACAAGAGGGAAGTCACTTTCTACATAAGATTTTTTGAAAATCACCCAATGGGATGAGCACTTGGAGCATTTATATCAGGTGCACTTCCATCACCCATCTTAGATTCACATTGCCATTTCTGCGTTTCTGGTATCAATGGAAGTCATACATATTAAGCATGGATTTACCATTGGTTTTTTACAAAAAATAAATTAATATTTCTATAGTTCCAATTTTGAAATCACATCAGCCATCTTAGGTTCTTGCCAGTGTTGCTGGGTTCTTGCTGTCAGTTTTTACTAAAACTATCAGATGCTGCCATGTTCATTTCCTCTTTAGAACAGTGCGGAAGCTTTAAAGCAGAATTTAAGTTAAATTATCTTTGAGTTTTTTTTTTTTTTTTTTTTTTTTTTTTTTTTTTTTTTGTGTGTGTGTGTGTGTGTGTGTGTGTGTGTGAATATTTCAAAAACGGGAAAGAATTCCGGTAAAGTGGATCGTGATTTTCTGAAAAGTCATAACCAATAACACTGTTCGATAGTTTTATTCCAGCTTGGTAAAGTTTTGCGTGATTCACATTAAACTGAAACAAGAAGAGCTCCATGATAATAAATTCAAGGGTATACTTAATACATACTGGTTAATAAGAATATGAGCTACAACCCAAATGCAAACTGATAGAGTAGTGTGGAAATTATTTTGATTAATTGATAGATGTGCCTTCTGAATTTCCATAGACTCTCTGCCGGCAGCTCGGTAAATTAATGTTTGATGCTTCGCACACTAGTTGATTAGTAACATTTCGGTTCCTATTTAAAAGATTTCGATTTTCAATCGCATATAGATTTGTTAATAACCGAACCACCGAACGCTGTAATTAATGATCTATAAATATTGTATGTTTTAAAAGTGATTGATGTCGATTTATATCAATCTTAGAATATTTTGAAACAAGTAGTGATAAATATAAAATAAATGAATATTGGCATAAGTTTACAACAATATTAATCATTATTTTGGAAAATCTGTCAAAAACCACTCTTCCTCATGTAATTATCTCCCCCTTTTTTATACTGATTCTATCATATGAAGATCAAAAGAGGAAAATTCTGTGCATTTAGTTCATTTAGTTTTTGAAAGGTCCAATTATGAAAGGAACATAAAAAATGAAAAATTGTTGTAGGTAAACTACAAGTAACTCTTACAATATTATTTCTTTAAAAGAAACCTGCATTCCAATAAAAATGCATAGTAATATTAAGATTATAATATCTAATAAGATATCTTCGTGTCTACTTCTCTGTAACTTGAATCATCCATAAATAATTAAAGAAGGTGAATGCGCAGCTGACTTAGCTCATTTACTCAAATTGTAGAGTTAATGGTAGATAGTGTTTTGCTTTGCCATGTTGAGTTGGTTTTAAGTATTAGCTGCATGAACTTCAGCGGTTGAGGTGGGAAAGTTTCGGTGTGACCTTCACAGGCAGTTTGCAAGAAAAGATGAAAAGAATTGCTGTGTGGATGAATCCATTTAAAATTTAGAGAAGCTTATTCTCTGAATGCATTGAGGAAGAGGGGAATTATGCGAAGAATATTCTTAAAGTTTTTAGAACCGTGTGCTAAAATGCTATGGGAGAATAGTATGGTTTGATTGTTAAAACCTGTGTTACTTTTAAGTTAGGAATTGTAACATTTTTTGGTATTTTATTAATTTGTAAGATTTTTTCCTTGAAAATATTTATATAAATGTAAATGCTAAATATATTTTTAGTGTAAAATTTATTAATTAGTTTTCTACCTCATTTTGAGCCCAATAGCTTAAAAATTTTGCACAAAAAATAACAATAAATAATAATGAATAAATAAATGCTTAAATTTCCATTTGCAGATATTGATTCAGCTGTTGAATGTATTTTATTATAGGAAATGATGATTTTATGTATGTATATTTTTTATTATAGGTACAGAAGTTTACCATGTATCATGGATTTGGAAGAAAATTACCGAGATCTAAAGAATGATATTATTAGACTTTTTGGTTCACATACTGATTTAGAAGCAGTAAAACTGTATTTTAAAAAAGGTATAAATTCCAACAGGGCCTTAAGCAGAGTACAAAGTTTACAAGATGTGATAGATCTCCTTGAAGAAAGAGATCTTCTAAATTCCAAAAATGTTAACGTTTTATTACAGTTAGCTGAATTTATGAAAAACTCAGATGCTGAGGAAAGGGTCAGATTGTATAATAAATTAGTGCTAGATGATCCTGACCCGCCATGTATTTGTGGCTTCAGGTATTATTACACGCCAGATATCAATGAAGAGGATCTTGAAAATCACAATGACCTGAATTCCTCAACAGATGCAAATAACAACATAGAAAACAAAAGTAAGTTATTTTATTTCTAACAGTTTTCTAAACATTAAAAAATTAATGTACCTTAGGACAGTAGTCTCAATCTGGCAGCCCTCAAAGCAATTTATGCAGTCCACAAATACAAATATTTATGTATTTGTTGCAAATATGATGTTGCACAAAGATTTTAAGAATTTAATTACCTGAGGTCTGAATTTACATAATTTTCATTAGCATTATAAATGATCAAGAAAAACTATAAATTGAACTAATTAATTTGCAACGTGAAATAAATCCTATTTAAAGATGGAGATCTGATTCATTTTTATTCATATTTGTTAAAAATAATTCAGTTTTAAATTGTTAAAAATAATTCAGTAATAAAGGTTTTTATTCTTTATCCTCAAGTTTTATTCCACTTAGAAAGTTATCATAATTTGTTTATTTATAACTTAAATTATTTAACAGTTAATTAAGTGTATTAGAATTATTTGGAATATATGTCATTCATATTAATATCTAGCTGCTTGAAATACAAATTGTAATCTACAAAAGTGTTGTGCAGGTACCAAACTTTAGATTTCAGATAGAAAATAAGTATTTGTTTACACTGTTATTATTATTGTTTATGAATGCTGTGATAAATATTTAGTAAGTAAAATTTTAATTAAAATATGTTTTAATTTGTTATATAAAAATCTTTCATTTTACTTAAAATAACAAAAAGTTAAAAATTTTGGTCCATCGGCTATTTTTAAATTGTGCACTCACTTACCCTGCATGAAGTTTGAGTTTGGTCCTGCTGCCATACGAAATCCATTTCTTATCGTCTTTAGAAACAACATTTAATTCGCATACTGAAAGCTCTTCATTTTAGATGCTAAATTGAAATTATAAATTAAAAAGTTAGCTGAGATTATTTGCAGTTGTATTTCTATTAATGGGTTGCAAATCAACCTGGCCTTGTTTTTAAAATAAACTACTTTTTCATTATCTGCAATCTCATCAAAAGTCATGGTCTCATTGAGGACAAACTTGTAGATGAATTTAGATAGAAAAGATTCATTTCAACCTTGTATTCAGTACCATCTATTTTGTTACTTTCTTTTTCCATACAAGACATGCACACTTCTTGGTTTTTTGGGCTGTTATTATACCCATAGGCACAATGAACCCTTTTCACTAAGGGGGGGGGAGGAAATCAAAGAATTACACAAGCACACTATCGCACACAACCTCGCACTGCACTCAGACCTCTATACCATACTCCTTAAATTCGAAGAAGTAAACAAAAAAATAAGAGCCACACAGTCCATTTAAACAAAGCACATTAAGTTCTATGTGCATAGAAAGCTAAGCCTGAGATTTTGCTGAAGTTGACAAAACTGCAGTATGTAGTTCACTGCTGTGCTAAAACACTGAAATTCTTATGGGAGTGATTATAATCTGCAGTCACACTGTGAAAAATGTCTGGAGAAGTTGAAAGCTATCAAAAGCGATGTTACACACATACCTGGGTTGCTACTTAAGTACTGTTTTGGTAACATCATGAGTTGCCAAGTGAATACTTTAGGCAACAAGGTGCATTGCTTTATCACTATATATATATATATATATATATATATTATATATATAGATATTATGTGTGTGTGTGTCTTTTCAGTAGGGTTGTGGGTAATCAGAAAGTATCCCCCCCAAAAAAAAAATTAAGTTTATATACTGCGGAATGATGGAAAAATTACTATCATAAATAATTAAATAATGCAAATAAATTTGTATGGAAATGAGAGAAAAAGAAAAGATGTATGGGATGGCAGTAGTCATTGCTAGAGCAGGGAATCTCAACCCTGGAGGAGAGGAGGAAATGTGGTTACTCTGATTCCACCTACTTCCTATTGTGGCATTGAAAAGTAATCTAAATCTAAATTGATATCTTTTTTGAGTTTAGAGGAGGAAAATATGGAGAGGAGTGATCTTCTAGCAATGGTAAAATGGGTGCATGAAGTAAAGTGGTTGAGTACCCCTGTGCTAGAGTATTTAGGAGTTCCTTTTATTGACTATAGCACTTTATTTAAAAGTACATAATTTGCAATATATTAACATTGTTAAATCATCCATGGGGATAAAAGTTGCTAAGTTGTAAATTAAGTGTGCAGCCATCAATCTTCTGTTTCCCATTAGCTGATATCATTAGATTTGTGGAGAGGGCTGTACTCTACTGCGCAAATGAAAGTCCTCTCTCGTCCTGGTATAGTCCAACTGCGCCAATCAAAATTTCTGCCCCCCCCTTTGCCTACAGGGTTACAATTTTACTTTTTGAAGCCAATTATAGCCAAGAGGAAAATAAAGAAATAGAATTACATATCACAATCCAAGAACAAGTAAAGAATATATAACGAGCAGGCTAATTACTTGAATAACAGTAACAAATGAGAGAGCTAACAAAGAAAATAAAAGGTATTGGTAAACATACATATTAGCATTACAAACATCTTTCATTAGTTACAATATTAAAGGAAAGAGTATTACAATAATATCATAAATCAAATAATTGTAAAGCATACCAATTATACTTTTTATAAATTACATCAATAATAGTAAAGATGTCTGAACTAGACTGGTAAATTTAATATAGTTCACTGGCGTGCAAAAGATTATTCTGTATCAAAGTGTGCTAGAAATATTTTTTGTTAATTAAAGTAGTCATGTAAATATTTGCAGAAATTAATATTTAAATTTAAAAAAAAGCTTAGCATGAAATCTATTATTAACAACTATTATAATTATAAATCTATTATAACAACATTATGTGTTTGAACACTGACGTATAAATTGTAAATAAATTTAAATTATTATGCTAAGAAGTTTTTTCTAAAATTTATCTAGAAGAAAGGAATTAGATAAACAGTACTGCAAATTAATATAATCAATCATGCCCCTCAATAGATAAAAGCTTATTTTTTTTAACCAAAAATTAAAAATTGGGATGCAAAAATTTGTGTAATATACTACTTGGAAATATCTGAACATATAATTAATTAGAAACATATAATTAAATTAATAACAATCTAATTAACAGCAAAATTAAGCTTAATTTCATTCAATCTAAAACAAGCAATCGATCAGGAGCTCTGCATAACTGAAGTTTTATTGCTATTCTACGTAGATTTGCATATAAAATGAATATTTGCATTTGTGAAACAAGTGAATAATGTACTGATAGTCAGCAGGAATTAAAATAACAGTGGTTAAAAATATGACTACTTGTCAGAAGGTATGCAAAGTTGCCATAGTTAGAGAAATTGAATGATTATAGAAAACTCATAAAGTTAAGCGCTACAGTGTGAAAAGAAAATTCTGAAATAACATGTTAAGAAAATTAGATGAAGAAATAATCCTTAATTTATTGATATCCAATATCAACTGTATGCTTTTGGAAAATGTTACATATAATTTGCACTGAGGTATCAGTCACTGAAACCGAGTTAATTTCTTTCCTTATTTTTTCTTATTAGAGGGATTTGTAAAAAGGTATGCCAAGGTGAAAATTTTTGCAATATTTTTAAAGAATAAATTTAAAAAGTATTTTTACTTCATGAACTGAAATTTTCATGCTACATTTTTACAAAAGAAGTAAGTACAAAAGAAGAAAGAGCTGGGGGATCACTGAGACTAGAAACTCGGGTCGAACTACCAATGTTTAGTGACTTTTCCGTTTGATCATAAGACCTTTTGAAATTAGGCTGAACAATATTGTTGTGTTTTTCTTTCTTACTTCTGACACCAGTTGTTACATTATTTTCTTCCTAAATGTTCGTACGGGGTTCATGTAGATTTGGAGTGAATAACGATGACACTTTATTTGCCAGTATTGTCAGGACAGCTCCAAAACACGTTTTACAGTCGTCGAAGATCTACTATTAATACGCTGACACGATCAGCGACACAGCCTTCAGGTTATCAGGCTATCATGGTGGAGACAGCTTCCTGCAAAGCAGCCAACTCTGCTTGGTCGTTCTCGGAACTCCGCGTACTCTCGAGACTCTCCACGCTACAACTCGCGATGTACTCGACCACACACGAGCACAGCTCCTGACTCTTCGGTTCAGTCTTTCCCGGAGCTCAACACGCTCTCTCGAGGATGCACTAACAAACTCCTTCAGTGGACTCGACGACCCACTCGGCACTCGCTGCGCGGCTGTCAACTCGATCGACTGCGCAGGGATTGACTCACTAGACGAGGCACACACACTCTCGATGAGAGACACCCTTCCTCTCGATGAAGCAACACTCTTCTTGAATGCGGACTAGCAGGGTTTATATAGCTTTCGGCTTGTGTTCGGGAACATTCTGGACTAAACTGGTAAGAATTCGTTCCAGAAGGTTCTCCAACCGTCCGTGGAATTAAAGAAAATAGAAGATACAGCACATGTAAGAACAAAAGTGGGCTCAATTATAGATTTACATGTTTAATGAATGAGTTAAACTTACCTGTATGCCATTATGAAATATTAGGAATGTAGCATAAAAGCATGAGTGAAGAAGGGAATGGCAATCTAAATCATTGTAATCTAAATATATAACAATATCAGTATCAGTATCTGCTATTAATTTCAATGCTGCTGGAAAAATTATAAATGAATTATATTATAAATCAGATGAACTCGTTGCATTATAAATTACAACAGTTAGAAATATTATTAGCGTGATTTAGCGACCATCTTTGTTAACAAATAATTTCAAGTAATTAATTTTACAAATAATTCAGCCTGAAATTAGGTTAGAAAATAAGCTACATGCTGAAAATTAAGCTTTGCCAAGATGTTAGAAACATCTTCTGTTAACTAGAGTTATGATGCAAGAATTTGTAAAAATTATCATTTAAATATGAATTGGCATAAATACAATACAAAATACAGTCAAAAGTCGTTAATCCGGACTCGTCGGGGACTTCGGCGATTCCGGATTAGGCAATTTTTCCGGATTATAGATCATCAAGTTTAAATCCCGTAAGATGGCATGCAGAAGTTCTACAATTAAAAATATGAAATCCTTAATTTATGAAATAAAGAACAATTATGATCTAAAGGGTATCAAAATTTACAAAAAAAAAAAGGGCTTAATATTTATTGTTTACTTTATGGTAACATTTCTTTCAATGTAAGTTGTTTTAAGTTGCTTCGTTTTATGTGATAATATTTTCTCTTTAATTCTATAAACAGACACAATTTTCTAGTTCAGTTACAAAGTTCCGCTGTTCAAGTCCCGTTAATTTTTGTACCGAGAATACCGACTAACTTGTCAATCGAGATTTTTTCGTTTTCACTAACCTCTCTGTCACATTCTTCATGTCTTTATCCATTTTTTGCAGCAATTCCACTTTTTGTTTGATGGACATCGAAACATACTTTCGTTTTGCATGATCCTTTGGGAGCTCCAGAATCGGAAATTGTATTTGACATAATCGAAAGTTCAAGTTTACTTTTATAAAATTGTTCTTACAGTCTGCAAAAAATAATAAGCCGGATCCAATTCGAAGATTAAGGAACAACGCAATCATCAACATTAACTGAAATAGATAATTGGATAATTTTAGATTATACCGTCCGTTATACATAAAAGGCGCACGCGAAAACGTATTCTGCGCTTGCGCACACGCATTTGCGCAGTGGTAAAAGGTCTTACGCGCACGCGTAAACGCCTATGCGCATGTGTCAACGCGGCGCATGCGCAGAAAGTTTTTAGCTTTGAGGTCCGGATTATGGGTGTCCGAATTAACGACTTTTGACTGTATATATATTCTACATACATGAAAACTGAGTACAGTGCAACAATATGTGAAAAAGAAATGGATTAAAAGGGAACTGAAAATCCCAAGATATGAATAAAAGGGTTTTTTTTTTTTTGGTTTGATTATGAAAATTCTGCAGACACTCATTATCAATTTATTAAGTAAATGTATATTATGAATTAAATGTACGCCAAAGTACATCAGGTGGAAAACAATAAATATTTAAACGTTTCTAATATTAAAGTATGGAATTTGTAAGAAAGTTAAATAAACTTAAAATAACTATAAATAATAAACCATAAATATTTAAATAACTTATCAATGGACTAAAAATGGAAAGCTTAAATACAGCAACTATATTGCAATAATATTAGTGTGAATTTAGAATGACTTAAGAAAGTCCAATTTTTAGATTATAACAAAGAGAATTTTTTTAATTAAAGTTAGAACTGTTTACCTGAAATGGTAAATTTGAAAGTTAAAACCATTCTGCTATCTAAGATTATTTGATTTAATATTTATTCTAGACAAGAAATAACATTTATTTAAGGTGCGCTACAAATCCAATATTTGATAGGTTGATTATGTATCAGTTTTGTGTATGTCATTAATCTAACAATTTTACTATTCAAAACTGATATATATATATATTAGCGAATAAAATCTACAACTTGGAAAGTTTTTAATTCTTACAGAGAATAAAAAAGATCTGGCTCATCATTCCTTTAAGCATCATGAAACTTTAAAATGAGTGTAAAAGATAAAATAGAATTTAAATCATGCAATGTTAAATGTTTATAGAAAGAAATATTAAATGTTTGCATGAAATAACTGTAGCTGAACTCATTAAAATCATTTAATAATATGTAAGAAAAATAAAAAATATGTAAAAGATTAAATTAACAGCATAAATTAATTCCCTTCTCTCTTCTAAAAATAGCAACATCTATTTGCACTGCCTCATTTTGATAAAAAATCTATCTCATATAACTCTCGTATAATTTTGATGATGTAAACGAAACTAAAACTCTTAACAGCCAATAATAATTTTACTGCAATATTAACCATCCAATCAGAATGCTTTGAGAACCAAAACTAACTCAGTCTGACTTGAGATTTCATCCTGAACATTACGTACTTTCTTCCCGTGCTTTGGCCTGGCCGCACTGCTGTCTGCTTCTGTTTTCTTGCTACAAAGTTATCAAAAATGTAAGCCTTTTGGAACAGGAACTATGCTGCTAATTTAATCTTTTACATTTTTTTATTTTTCTTACATATATTCTTATAATTACTATAAGCGGCTAGTAGATAAAATGTATATCAGCGAGCTCCATATTCATTCAAGAATGTATGCTGCTTGATATCTGCATGGGAAAGGAAGATGTCAATCCATAAATTTAATCTATCGACCACAACAGCATTCTCTACAAAATCTGCTTGTTTTGGTCTCTGTTGTCTGCCTTTACATTTTTGCCAGATATTTTATAATCTGGCAAGAATCTGATATTTTTTGATAAATACTTGCTGATGTGAATTTTTAAGCATGGAGAAGCAATGAGATAATTGCATGATACATTTTCTTTTTTTCACTGACATTTTATAATAGTTTTATTTGTGTTATGTTACATTGGAATTAAACTGCTACTCTTATATTCCATATTTTACATTTATGTTCTTTGATTTTATGTAGGATTAGAACAAGCCATGGAAAACATTGCACAAAGAATTGGGAAAAAATGGAGAATTCTGGCAGCCGAGCTAGGCTTAAAAGAGTGTCAAATTGATCTCATAAGAAGAGATTCCAGGGACATAGTTCATCAGGCTCGTAGAGCCTTTCAGATTTGGGTCCAAACTCATGGCCATGTGACTATGCAGATGCTTGACAAAGCTTTACAGGAAAGGCTATGCCGAAAAGAGGGTATAGGCCTACATTTAAAGGATTCCATTATTGGAATTACTTGCTAAGTGACATTTGTTTGCTTCACAATCATAAAAAAAAAAATCCTTTTTATTCATATCATAACTGTTCACGTTTTACTTTGACTGATAGTTTTTCAAGTGTGATTGATATTACAAAAATTTATCATTAAATGTTCATCATTCACGCTTTGATATTTCTCAGATTTCAATTGTGTGTTTATATACTGTGCCACAAAGTCCTTACTTGGCCTTTATTTTCACAATTGTTGGTTGTGGACAAATACTTCTAATTACAAAAATGTTTTAAAGGACAAAGATTCATGTTTTCAAATGTTTAAATATAAAGAAACCAGTTTTGTAACTATTATAAAATCTAACTTTTTATTCATTCCTTTGATCCCTATACTTAAGAAAATCTAATACATGTTATGAAAAGTAGAACACAAAAAAATTGACTCTGTACAGCAAAAACTAACCAAGACTTTTGATTTCAAAATCAGCGATTTTTTTACATCATATTCAATTTGAAATGAGGGGCTCTTAATTAATAAATAAGTTAGAAGAGATTGAGTTTTTCTCCTTTAAATGCCATTCCATGATACTCTTTTGTGGTTTACTAGTGTCTTTAATTTTATTACATTTAGTATGCTAGAAGATTTTTCACACACAAAAAAATTGCATTATTAATAGTTTCATGAACCATTATTTGTTGATTGCATAAAAAATTTCTATTTCTTTAAAATTAATGCAAATAATGTTACATGCTGAATTTGTGCCAATAATGAAGCCTGTGTGTATTTTCTAAAATGCAAATAATATAAAATTCTACATAATGGATCTCCATTTTGAAAAAAAAATTATATTGAATGCTTTTTGCAGTAATCTATATAGAAATATCATCAGAAACCATTTTTTAAACTGTTGTTTTATTTTTAGTTATATACTCATCTTTCTTTGCATGATCCCTGTCATATTCTGCTTCTTGGGCATGTTCTGGATATATGTTTCCTTAATGTGCACTAAATGTGGGCATTACATAAACCAGCCATTTTAAGGGCACAAAAACTTTTATTAACACACGAACAAAATAAAAACAAATTATTAACACAAAAATAGAACCACATCTATCATCACGCTGGTATGCAGCAGGTTACCTTCGTTACTTCGCTACTAACAGTCTCTTCTCTTCTCTAGTAAGTAACATGAGAGAGAGGCGTTGCAGGCCTTTCGGCTAAACTAGGCATGTGTGGTCATCACGTCACGACACCTCCCCTCTAAAAGATTTGATTGCGTCTTTCAATGACCTGTCAAATTCACACATATAAACATTTCTTGAAACAAAATTAAATAACATTCATAAAATTTTCGAACTTAATTAACCAGTTCTTACCATTTTAAATTAAAATTACTTCAACATAAATTCAGTAATCTTATTCATTTAAAAGATGTAACATTCAGTTAACTTTTCAAACTTAAATCCTTCACATAATCATAATCATATAGCAAGCAGTTATAAACAACAATACAAATCAAGTAATATTAATAATTTAAAAAGTAACATTCAATCTACTTTCAAACTTAAATCTTTCACATCATCATAATCATAAAACAATTATTAATACAAATCAATCATTTAAAATTAAACATAATACTTTAGCAAATCCTGGCTAAATCTTTAAACATATTACATAACGTTAGGGGGAAAAAAATCAAAAGCTTAACATTTTAGCTAAAAAAAAAAAAAAAAATAATAATGTTCACACTAATTAGTCAAAATGTCTTATAGTTCATAGTGTCAGTCATTCCTCACTCACTGGAAAATATAATCACATCATTAAGTCACGTCATCAATAAACTCAGCATAGCCTTTCAGTCTACACATAATGTTACCGTTCCGTTTTGTTGATACACAAATTACTAGATGCACATATTTACTTTCTGATTCAATTATTAGCTTTAGCTGTAATAGCTCATCTATTTGACGATCATCTTCATTTTTTAGAACTTCAGGTATCCGATATGGTTTCTGCTTTTTTGGCATACTTCCAGGCTTTAGTTTGATGTTATGTTCTCCAACATTTGCGATTTTTGGAATACCAGCTCTTAGGTTCTTATGTCTTTTCAAAATTTCCATAAGTTGGAAATAATACTTCCATGTGGCATACGGTATTTTCTGGTTCAACGTCAGCCTTGGCAACGGTTAATTATGTGCCTGTATCTGCTACTGGCATTAATTAATTTACCATCACATATAAGTTTAACAGTTGGCAAGTCTATTAATTCTTTAACTTCTTGATTCACAGTAAAATATTTAGAAGAAATCTTTGCTGTTATGGCATTAGAATTATTCTTAATTTCTTTTTTAGCAACCTTTTCCGTATCTTCATGCAACAATATATTATGATACTTAGAATTACATTTTGAGCATTTTAATTGAGATGGACAATTTTTTGTTCTACAGTTCCTTTTGAAACAAAGAAAGCACTGATTAGAAGCTTTTAAACTCTTTTTCTTTCTTCCGGGGACATAACACATTTTTCCGAAACATGATTTCACCTTTCACAAAATAAGCAAGGAAATATTTGAACAGCTGCAATTTTGCTTACATTAGGGGAATGGCTACACCAAATTTGTTGGCGTTGAATGAATTTCGAGTGTGGAAGTTGTTTCGCTTTTCATTGGGTGGAGAATGCCTTTCGAGAGAATTAGCGTAACTCTTAGAATAAAATAAATTTAATGAAGTTCGTTTGCGACTTTCAATTTCCCGTTTTAGAAATTTCATGAGGTCGTCGACATTAAAATATTCCTCATCTGCTTTCTGGCGAACAAAATCAAGCGTTATATCCTGAGGTATACATTTCATTAATAAAGGGTATAGTAAATTTCCATACGATTTGGTTTTATATAATTCTCTCAAAGCATTAATATCACTAGAACTTCGGACAGGTCATAAATTTAAAAGTTTATGCATGTAAGAATTAATAAGGACACCACTGTCATATTCTGCTTCTTGGGCAGGTTCTGGATATATGTTTCCTTAATGTGCACTAAATGTGGGCATTACATAAACCAGCCATTTTAATAGCACAAAAACTTTATTAACACATGAACAAAATAAGAATAAACGATGAACACAAAAATAGAACCATGTTTATCATAATGCTGGCATACAGTGGGTTACCTTCGTTACTTTGTTACTAACAGTCTCTTCTCTTCTCTAGTAAGTCACATGAGAGAGAGGCATTGCAGGCCGTTCGGCTAAACTGCGCATGCGTGGTCATCATGTCATGACAATCCCCAAGTATAAACCAAAACTTTGAAACAAAATATTTCATCCTATATTTACCCTGTGGGAGTCGAACCTTTTGTGTTTTATTTTTTATAATGTATACAAAATTTTCCTAAGTATAGAAATCTAGAAAATGGATATAAAAAGTTAAATTTTGTATTTTGTACAAAAATGATTTTTTTTTAAATTTGAATTTTAAAAACACCAAAGCATGAATATATGTATTATTTAAAATATTTTTTGATAGGAAGTATATGTCAATGAGTAGTAGTTGCAAAACCAAAGGCCCCATGTAAGGACTTTTATGTGTATGCTATATAATATAATTACAGTTTGTCAAATGCATATTTTTAGACTAATAAGCTATTGGAAACTCACAAATTTAAAATTGAGATTTTTTATTCATGTGTGAAATATTGAACACTCGCCTTCTGTTCATCTTCATGTAAATTTTGTAATGTTATTTAAAATGGTAACAATTAAGATGAAAATGAATCTTTTAGCATCTTCATTAACATTGTAATTCTTCACTTCATTAAGCATTTTAACTTGTTTATTGACATTAAAAACTGAATGAAAAGAAAAAAGACTGGAAGAAGAGAAAAAGGAAGAAAATGCAATTATCTTTTATTACCAAAGATATAAAGGTTCTGTGGGCTCTTGAATCTTTTTTGCATTCATATTAATGAAAGTGAAAATACTTTGCCAACGAACAGAACTTGAAACAACACTACCAGTTTTCTCTAGCTCTATCTGTATGTACTACAGTACAAAGTCTGAGATCCAGGCGTCCAATATCCGAAATGATCTGAAATCTGGACCTCAAAGCCCTGAACAGTGTTTTTTGACACCCCCCCCCCTCTACATAGTAAAATATGTGGAGAGTTCCGATTCTTAAATTTCACTTTGGCAGTAAGTTAAATACCTTGTTATTGAAGAAACAATCATTTTAGCATAAATTTGTATGATCAATAATTTGGCTCTATAGCTGCTAAATTGCCTGCTTGGCTTACATCTGAAACCAAAACATTCTACATAGATACGTCATTGAATTTACACCTACTAATATTTTATATTTCTGATGCCAACCTAGTGAATCATTATTTATTATATTTTGTTTTCACCACCGTATGTTTATCAACACATGACAACTTGAGTAATGATTCATATAGTGATGCCTGAACAGTTTTTTTTTTTTTTTTTTTTTTTTTTTTTTTTTTTTTTTTTTTTATGTTAGTAATTGAATAACAAAAAATATGGTAGCCTTTTATGTTTACACTTGGTGATTATTACAGATTTAAGATAAATGTGCTAAGAAATGTTGACGAGGAAAAATTTCTTTACATTTGCTAAAAATAGATTTTGTTAATGATACTCATAGGCCAAAAGATTACATTTAGTGCTGTTTGAATTAAGAATAACTGATTTGTTATTCACATAAACCCAGAACCAACTCCAGGCCACAACGGACGGCAGAACTTGGGGAAGATAAAGGAAGACGCTTGGTAGCAAAATTTGGAACCCCAAGAGACTGCATCAGGCAGTAAGATATCTAGTGCCAGCCCTCCATAAGCCTTAAGTATATGTAGGAATTTATTTATTCAGAACTTATATAAGCCTTAAGCATTTGCAAGAAGTAGACATAAAATAAATAACTAAACTAACACAATTCAGACGTAATTGTCTCCATGCGCGATAGAAGCAAGTAAAATTCAGCGGAGCAACTTGTCTTTAATCACCAATCTCATGATACATAGCCAAATATGTGTAGTTAACAATAGCTGAATTTTATTGTGGGTAGCCACAAATTTTAAAGGTTTTTGGATATCACAAACTAAAGGTGAAATTTTCCAGTTAATGGATTTTGTAAAGAAATGTGGAGAAAAGGTAATAAATGAAGATAATATGAAAGAAGTTTTTCATTGTGGTGACAGTGCTCCTCAATCATCAATGAATTAAAGGATGGCAAAATCTGTAGTATGGTTCTAGATCCAGAAAATACCGCTACCAACAGTGAACAAAGTGACAGAGAGGTTACTGAAAAACGGAAAATTTTGATTGACAAATTAGTCAGAATTCTCGATACACCAGTTACAGGACTTCAACTATGTACCTAAACAAGAAATTGACGTCTGTCTACAGCAGGGTTTCTTAAACTGTCAGAGGTCGTGGGCCTGCAGCAGGGGGGTCGCCAAAAATTTTAGCAGTTTTTATATTTATTATAATAATTTTAAAATTACTAAATATTTTTACACAATGTATCTGAAAATAGATAATGATAAGGCAATACAGACAAAGAAAAAAAAATTAAAACGTTTTGAAGCATTCATTTTATAATATAAACGTTCATTTTACTTGCTTTGCACGTGACGCTGTCATTTCATCTGTTACTTACTTAAAATTTTCACTTCGTTTTATGTCTTAAATTTAGAAATTAAAGTTAATGACCTAAAACTGCAATAGTATATTACAGTACAAGTGAAAAAGTTGAGTTTCACTCAGGTGTGTTTCGGATTTGCACAATACTTATGGGGTCCCACAAAATTTTTGTAAATATTATGGGGTCCTGGGGACGTGAAAAAATCTCAGTGAGCAAAAAGGGTCACGACTGAAAAAAGTTTAAGAAACCCTGGTCTACAGAATTAAAGAGAAAATATTAGCAGGGAAAAAAAAAAAAAAAAACGCAACTTTTATTGAAAGAAATGTTTAAAGTAAACAAATAAATATTACGCTTTTGTAAATTTTGATACCCTTTAGATTATAAATGCTTCATTATTTCATAAATCATGATTTCATATTTTTAATTTTATAATTTCTACATGCCATCTTACTAGATTTAAACTAATGATCTAATAATTAAGACACAATAACATGGCGAACAAATACTAATTCAGAAGTCAAACAACAAAAATCAGTGTTATATTTTCAAATTTTCACAGGACTAGTTCCGATGGTTTTTCTGAACCACCATGTTCAGCTGCAAAAGCACAAGTGAACGAGATCGGATGTAATGATTAGGTAAGATAAGAAAGCCTGGACATAAAAATAAGCTACTAGCGCCATCTGCTGATAAAACCAGAACTAAAACATAATTTCTTTAAAGGCCGAAGGCAAAGATGGATTGGAATAAGGTTCGTTAACTAGAACAGA